GTCTTTAGTTTCCACGCTCAATCAGGCTTCAGGGAAGGAAAGGTCTCCCGTTTTACCCGTGATGTTTAAACGGAATATCCTCGTATTTTAGGGGTCCCTCCGGTGGGATATCCAATCATATAATAATCAAAATAAGACATACGCTCATAGCGTAGTAAAACCCAGGTTTATTATAATCTTACAGCATACACGTTTAAAAAGAGCGCTAAAATATGTTTAAAAAAGCCGGCTGGTCAATGTGCAAGTATGTAAAGTGCGGCGTAAATTGTTGGTACTATATAAATACCTGTAATCAGTGGCGTAACAATCACCATAGCGGCCCTGGCGGCCGATATGGGGCCCAGGGCTCAGTGGGGCCCAGCCAGATGCCGTGCGGGCCGTCTGGGTCGCTATGGGATCCTCTGCTGGTGGCTTTCACTGGCAGCTGAAGACGAACACGCCGCTGTTCAGATCAGTGACAGTAATCCTCAGTAGGACGTAGTGAGGGACACTACTGTCTAGTTAGCCTCCTAAGGTGGAGTAGGCCTTTTTATTTGTGTTACTTTTTCGTTGGATGCAATAAAGCTGCATTTATTGCCATTACTGTTTAAAGACCAGTGACTTTCCTACAATATATATATATAAATAATATATGTTCTGCAAAATCTTCCTTTTTCATTCTACAAACATTTCACTTTACAGAAATAAAAAGCAAAAAACACACAAAAAAGAAAACCAGCATTTTTTTTTAAATTAAATTATTTTTATTTTCTCATTACTATTTTTTTTTGTTCATTTTATTTTTGTTACAAAATAGCATCTCTAGATTTTTTTTTTTTCCAAGACACAGAATAACCAGTAAGAAATAACCGTCTCTCGCTTCTATCTACACAGACATCACTGGATGGAGATATTCGACTTTGGTTACAGGAAGCTCAGACTCCGCGCGTAACTGAACCCAGCGGCTCGTGCCGCGGCCACATCAGATGCTTCCTTATCTGAGAAATCAGCCTCTAGGAAATCAAAAAGACGGCGGGGAGCGTCCTGTTAGCAGCCTCTGCAGTAGCCTTCTGGACTCAATTCAAATAAAGTTCATCAAAGCGATGGGCTGAGGAAAAGGGGGATGTAGTTCGGAGACGGGAAAAACAAAAAGTGTTCCTAAAGTCGTATTAAACTCTGAAACGTTCTTTTATTAAAGATTGAATCCACAGCTAACAAATACACATCGTCCAGCAAAGCATTTCTTTACATTTGTGCCCAAACACTTCCAGTGATAGTGTTTCCAAACAGCTCCAGCTCTCTCAGCTCAGCTTCCCTGAACCTCCTGTCAAGTAGAAGAGGCAGCACAGTCTCCAGCAGCTGTCCATCTACTAGTCTGGAGAAGAAAGGAGGAGGAGACAGCAATGGGGAGGGTTATGGTTTTCCTTGCTGTGCCTGTGTATTTGTGGAGACACACACAGCTTACTAGCGTACTCAAGGGTGGCTCCATCGGACCCTGCAAGGGAAAGGAGCCCCACCCTAAAACAGGATATCAGGACCAGTGCTCAGGGGACTCCTAAATGTCAAGGAGCAGCGTCCACACTCGAACACATAGGTTCAAATGCAAAAACAGGAAAAAGGCTGAGTTTGACCTCCTAATTTCAATAGGACCTGCTTGACCTCTGACCTACGTCTGATGTGGGCTTCAAATGCACATCAAACGCAGGAAAGCAACACCCATATACTCAAGGCCTATGAGGCAAAACAATACTGCTTTAGGGTGACATCACTGGAATAGAGGGAGGAGTTTATTTTGTGGATCACCTGACTGCTCCAAACTAAGTGGAGATGAAACTTGAGGGTTCATTTATAAAAATTATAAGCCGGGCGGATGACGACTATAGGCAACTCCTAGACTCATCGGCGCCATCTAGGGGTGCTAGTGCCACATTGACAAGTATAACAAATTCCTATACTCATCAGCGCCATCTAGGGGTGTTAGTGCTTCACTGACAAGTATAGGCAATTCCTAGACTCACCAGCGCCATCTAGGGGTGATAGTGTCGCCCTGCAAATATAGGAAATTCCTATACTCATCAGCGCCATCTAGGGGTGCTAGTATTGCACTGACGACTATAGGCAACTCCTAGACTCATCGGCGCCATCCAGGGGTGCTAGTGCCACATTGACAAGTATAAGAAATTCCTACACTCATCCGCACCATCTAGGGGTGTTAGTGCTGCACTGACAAGTATAGGCAATTCCTAGACGCATTAGCACCATCTCGGGGTTCTAGTAACACTCTAAACAGTATAGGAAATGCCTATATTTATCAGCACCATGTAGGGGTATTGGTAGCACGCTAACGAGTATAGGAAATTCCTAGACTTGCCAGCGCCATCTAGGTGTGCTACAGCCACACTGACGAGTATAAGAAATTCCTATACACAAAAGCACCATGTAGGAGTACTGGTGCCACACTGACAAGTATAGGAAATTCCTATTCTCATTAATGCTATCTCTAGGGGTGCTAGACCAGTGCAAAGGGCATCTGCTTAGTGTAAACCCTTTATACATAAACCCTTAAGGGTGTAATTATAAAAAGAAAAAACTTGCAGGGCCATTGGTCCTGCGACACTGCAAGTATATTTGTTCTGTGTAAAATGGGGGCAAAAGCGAATGTTATTAGTACATTTTCTTTCCGGGCAGAATGGAATTTATTTATACGTTTAGAGTGAATCAAGAGGATGCAGCATGATGACCTCTAGGTGGAGCTGTGGTTCATAGGAAGGAAATACTTCTTTCCTATGATTATGGCCATTAGATGGAGCAGAAGACCACAGGGAAGAAATACTTCTTTCATATGATCCTCAGCTCCATCTAGTGGCCATAATGCAGTATTTTCTTGGTATTACATTCAACTTGGAAAAAAATATACTAATAACATTTGTTTTTGCCCCAATGGAAAACCACATAAAGACTTCACCTACACTGCCTCCGGAGGCGAAATGTGGTACTGCAATAAAACCCTTAAAATTCTTAAAGCGGAATTCCATTTTTGTTAAAAAGATAAAATATATATAACTGGTACATGGGCTTCTTGTAATATATAAAATGGCCTTCACATTTGAATTTGCAGCCTTCTTTGATTTCTAAAAACTGTCTCAAGTAGGGATATCTTGTACCAAGGCAACCACAATACCAGAGGGGAATTTCTGTATGCTATTTGTCTATGGAACTCCTCTAGTAATATTTTCTGCTCATGTGAGTGGCTTGCTGCCTCTCTTAGTAGTTTACCTCTTTTGGGAATGCTGGTGGGGATCATGTGGCAAGAGCAAGAAGATCCTCCTACTCTAGAAGTGGACTCTATGTGTGTCTAACCAGAAGCAGCAGCAGGAGGTGGGTCTATAGAATAATTTTTGCAAAAATTGACCAGGAGAAGATAAATTTTGTACAACAAATGTAAAGTTACACTTCAGATGCACTGGTTTTGTATTTCATTGGCTGGATTCCAGTCTTCCAATAATAGGTTAATAGGGAGGTCCTACTGTCACGTTGTAGGTTGAGGGGACTAGGGGTCCCTCTGTGTTAATACGTGGAGGGACCCCCAATCAAAAAAGGGTTTTGCGGAAATAAAGATTCCTTTGCAGGCCTCCACAATAGGTACAATGGGTTACATTCACTGGACCTCTTGGGGATACCCTCTGCCATGTTCCTACGGACGATGGCACCTTTTTCCTACCCATTGTGACATAATAGTCACAATGCGTAGGTAAATGGGTACAATGGGTAGGAAAAAGGTGCCATCGTCCGTAGGAACATGGCAGATGGTATCCCCAAGAGATCCAATGAATGTTTCAGTCCACCAGGATCCACCTAGAACTAAAACATGAACCCGACCCTTTAATATAAAGCATGCCACTTTCGGCCTTCAAGTCCCCTTTGCATGCAGCCATTCAGTTATAGCGGAGTCTGAAGCAACCTAAAATACACAGGATATCACTGTCACACTTTGTCACCAGTTTCCAACTCACTTGAGAAGGCAAGAACCTGTTTTAGCAAAATATAACACAATCTCACAAAGCGGGCACAACAGTGGGCGCGGCCATTTCGTCTGTCCATATTCACAAGCGGGACAGTCTGTCGATTCCGCCCGGTGACCTCATAGGGCCCCCGAGATGAAATCGCCCGGCTG